TTAGGGTTTAGGGTTTAGGGTTTAGGGTTTAGGGTTTAGGGTTTAGGGTTTGCGCGCAGGTGGAGGCGCTGGTGCGGATGGGTTGCGTGCCCGCGCTGTGCCAGCTGCTGGGGTGTATGGACAGCAAGATCGTGATGGTGTCTTTGGAGGCTTTGCATGCAATTTTAAAAACTGGAAATAAAATAAAAGAAAGAGAGGGTTTGGACTCAAACCCTTTTGTGGATTTAATTGAACAGGCCGACGGAGCTGCTGCCCTCGAGAGGCTCCAAGAAAGCAGCAACGACAGCGTCTTCAAAAAGGTGGGGTTTAGGGTTTAGCGTTTCGGGCAGGGTGTGGGCGTAGGGTTTAGGGTTTAGGGTTTAGGGTTTGGCGCTGCCTCTGCGTGCGCTTGGGGGCCTCCCAGTTGGTTTTGGGGTTTTTAATGCCCTCGAGTCTTTTCCCTTTTTGCTGCTGCTGCTGAGGAGTGCTTTTTGCTGCTGCTGCTGATGATGAATCCTTTTTGTTGCTGCTGCTGAGGAATCCTTTTTGCTGCTGCTGCTAATGCTGCTGCTGTTAAAAGTCCGCTTTGCTGCTGCTGCTGTGGGTGCTTCTAGTGCTGCTGCTGCTGCTTCAAGTGCTGCTGCTGGCGATTCTAGTACTGATGCTTCTGCTGCTGCTGGTAGTGGTGCTGCTGCTGTTTCTGCTGCTGCTGCTTGTGCTGCTGCTGCTGTTTTTGGCCTTTTGCTGCTTCTTTATTTCCCCACTTCTATCTTTTCAGCTGGTCTTCGATATTTCCGTGTTAACATCAAATGTTTATTATTTATTTATTTTTTATTTGTTTATTATTTATTATTTATTTATTATTTATTTACTGCTTATTTATTTATTTGGTCTCAAACCATTGTTCTTTCTTTTTTCCCCCCGAGCACAACTGAGCACTTATTAAAGCGAACTTAATTAAAACTAATTAATTAATTAAATCATTTATTATTTATTTATTTATTTATTTATTTATTTAATTTATTCATTTATTTGTTTTTAGGTCTTCGCCATAATTTCGACTTATTTTCCCTATGAAGAAGATGAGCCAGTTGCTGCTGAGGGCCCCACAGCTTTCGGTGCTGAGGCTCCTCAGGGGGGTTTTAAGTTCAATTGAATTAATTAATTCTTGAAATTTAATTAAATTAATTTAATTGAATTTAATTAAATTTAATCGAATTGCAGCTTTTAGTTCGATTAATTCCCTCAGAATCGATCCGCAGGCACCTATTTTTGACGCAGCCGCATGCCCTCTGCAGCAGCAGCAGCAGCAGCAGCAGCGGCGGCAGCAGCAGCAGCTGTTTCTGTCTATGGAGACACACGCAGTCTCGAATGGGGGCCCCCGAGGTTTTGCTGCGCCCGGGGGGCCCCCTTTAGCTTTTTGCTGCTGCTGCTGCTGCTGCTTATAACTATAATAGAGTGGTGGGGGGCACGGGGCCCTCTGTGGGCAGAAGCAGCAGCAGCAGCTGCTGCTGCTGCAGCTGCTGCTGCTGTCGCTCTCGCTGCTGCTGCT